TTGAGCACACAGAAAAAAAAACCATATTTATGTAAAGAAAAGCGAGAGAGAGAGAGAGAGAGAGAGAGAGAGAGAGAGAGAGAGAGAGAAAGTGAGGAAAAAAACCCAATAGAGCGTTGCGGAATATCGTCACCAAGATTGAAATTTTGCATTGGAATTTTTTGTTTATTTTTTGCTTTCATAAATTATCAATGTTTAAAGGTTGTTGTTATTTTTTTCAAGAAAAATAAATCAATTTTAAAGAGAAAAAATGTACCTTTCAAGGCAAACTTCTATTTGATATTTAATTTGTATCTAATATTCAATTTCTAATTCGATTCTGATGCAAAAAAATATCCTGAAAAAATTAATTCATTAAAAATTATTTAATGAATTACAAAAAAATATTTACGTCATAAAAGATGAGAATTATGGTAATCTTTTTTAATTAAAAAAAACGTAAACAAAATCAAAAACAAAGTAATCCCATGGATAAATGTTATGATAATTTATTTGAATGTTATTTTACAAATGTTTTGCTTCTGGTTATTTTGATTGATAAATTTTACTTATTGCGTTTTGTCTTTACCTTGATTATTTTTCATCCAATTTGGTTACTAAAATAAAATATCAAACAAACAAACAAAAAAAATTTACAAAATAGAAAAAATAATAATAATTGTTAAAAAAGTAACAATAACCAGAAAAAAAACAAGAGATTGACATTGAAATTTGTCGGATTACCTGTTTTTTTTCATTGTTGTTGTTCGTATGTATCGTAACAATTGGTTTTTTCTTTCTTTTTCTGGCATTTTATTCTTTCCTAATAGTTTTTTTTCAAAATTAATTTCTGAATAATAATGATTGTTACATTTTTTTTATTGGTAAAAAAAACAAAAATAGCAATTTCAAGCAATGGTGAAAAACAAAACAAAAACAAAAAAAAAATGAAATCAAAATTGTCCTTGGTCGTGTGTTTTGTGTTGTGTTGTTGTTGCTAAAATTATCAAATTTTTTGAAATTTTTATTTCGAAAAAAATTATTATTGCGAGGAAAAGATTTTTTTTTCAAAACCAAAAATCCGATCATTCAAACTGGATTGACTAAAAGTGTTTATCGATTGTTTTTGGTTGCTAAACAGTTTCCATTTTCGTCCCACTTGTTTTACATGATACGAATATATCAATATAGATCAATATGGATGAAATTGGAAAATTTTGAAATTGATATTTGCGTCATAAAACATTTTGTTCAAATGTTTATCACCATTTTTTAAACAAAATTTTAATGTGTTTTTTTTTGTTGTCAAAATAAAAGAATTAAAATTGTTGAAAACAAAAAACAAAAAAAATATAGAAATCCTAGAATAATTGACCATCAAAAGTACCATGTGATTGAAATCATATGAATCATATGATGATTATAAGAAAAAAAAAATTCTGATCCAAATTCACATAGGCAAAATTTCGACAAACAACATCAACAACAACAAATTCCTTAATGACTAAGGTCAACATAATCCATTGAAATTGGTAACTGAAAAAGAATGGATTAGGATTATCATTTTCTTTGAATTATTATTATTTTACAAAATTTTTCTGGTTCTTTTTCTCTCTCGCTCTCTCTCTCTCCTTTCACTGAAACTATCCATATGACGCTTATGAAGGATTAAATTTTCTTGAACGATTCTTTGATCGTGATCAATGTCAATCTACAAATAATGTGATTTATATGTTGTAATCTGATTTTTGTTTTTGTTGTTGTTGTTGTTGGTACCATTCAATATCACGAATCATCTGATCATTGAAATATAATGTTGTTGATGATGACATTGATAAAATTTCTAAATAAATTCAATTTGGAAATTGAAAAATTTTATTTTAAAAAAATAATAATTTTTATTTGATCGATCCGCTTTTACATTTCATAAGAATTTTCATTGCAAATGACAGGCATATGGTTTTTCTAGATTTTCTAGATTTTATTGACAAATATTTTACTAATCTATAATTGATCAATTTTTGTGAAAAACAAACAAAATTGATAAGGGATTTTCATTTACTTTTCTCTTTCTTCTCCATTTTCTTTTTTTTTTGTTTCCGATTCAAATCCAGAAATGAAAAATTCCTTGTATACAATACGCATAACGGAATTTGATTCTTTATCCGTATTTATCCATATTTAAAATTGCGTATGATTTGATGTAGAAATTTGTCCATTTTGTTTCTATGTATAGAATACTGCAGGAATTATATGGAAAAAATATCATTTTTTTTTTGTTTTGTTTTGAAACCGGGTTTTGATTTTGAAATAATAGATTGTACACATTATTATTCTGAGCAAATCATATAATAATGATGATGATGATGATGATGTCAGTGACCAACAAACAGTAACTCCATATAAAAACTGTTCAACAAAATCAATCTAAAATTAGTAAATTTTTTCATATTTTTTTTTGTTGAAACAATCAGTGATTCGACAATATTGATATTTGGATGATGAATTCCAAATTAATAGAATCGAATGTATGAAGATAAACATACTTTATTCGTATTAATATTTGTGACAAAAATTATTATTATAATATTATTGAAAAAAAGTATCAACAATTTACAAACAAAATAATATTGATGAAATTTTTTTTTCAATATTATCAGTATCGTCAATGATGATCTGGTTGAATTGAATTCAAAATTCAATTCGTATTTCACGATTTGCATTTTGTATTTTTTGTTGAATGATTATGTGAAATGATGGAATAAATGAACATAAAATAATCTGAAAAGTAATCATTTATACTATTTGATTGCATGTGACCTTTGCTTTTAATGGTTTTTTTTCTGGTTAATTTACATTTTAATTTCAAAAAAAAAAAATTCAATTTTAGCGACAATTAAAAACAATACAATTTATACAATCATCAAATGACATTCAACAAAAATTTAAACAACAAACAAACAAAAAAAATGTCAACAACCAACGAAAAACATCGAAAATCTAAATTATTATCAATTATTACAATACTAATTAGTTGTTTATGCCATTTGATCAATGTTAACAACAGTAATTATGGCGTCATGGCAAATTTATCAAATAATGAAAATGGCATTGAAAATAATGCTGGTGAAACATTATTTCCAATTTATTCATCTGATTCTACAGCCACGGAAATGGTGATGACTAAATCGAATAATGATATCAATAATAATAATAATAATAATAATATGAATAGAATGAATTTTGATAATTATGAAACCATTAATTCATTAGTACCGATGGTTTCATCATCATCATTATTATCATCACCGATTAATATTGAAACACGTGGTGCAGAAAAACAACATTATTGTGGTGAAAATCTAATCAAAGCATTAGCACTTTATTGTAAAGGTTATTATGCAAATAAACGTACATCTGGATTATCCAATATTAATCCAAATCACGAAGGTAAGTACTTTCATTTGAAAATTAAATTAAATTATTGTTGAATTTTTAGTTTATGTTATTCTAATGTTTATTTTTTTTTGTTCTCTTTATTTATTCAAGAAACATATGACATTTATTCAATTAAAGATTGTCGTAATGAACCATATACTATGAACAGTAATAATGATATATCAAATAATGGCGGTATGATTGATATGAATCAATTATCATTAGCTAATAATAATGATAACAATGTTATTAATAACAAAAATTATAAACAAAATAATTATAATAATAATAATAATAATAATAATTGGAATGAATTAACCTGGTCAGATATATTGAATATATTAAAATATTCACATAATAAACATGATCAACAACAACAAAATCAACAATCATTATCTTATTTAAATAATAATAATAATAACCACAACAAAAACAAAATTAATATGAAACATACAAATCAAGGTTATATAAATGATTGGTGGTTAGATTCATTTACACGTACACATAATAATAATTATAATCATCGTATACAACGACCAAAACGTGGTATTGTTGATGAATGCTGTAAACGACCATGTGGTTTGAAAACATTAAATCAATATTGTGGTATACGTAAACGTCCAACATATTAAAAAAAATTTTTTGTTTCGAAAATTCAAATTCCAAATGAAAATATTCAATTATTATGATATGAAAAAAAGTCTCCATTATCATTATTATTATTATTATTATTGCTCATCATTTTTATCATCATCATCATCATCGAAAATTCATTATTATATAATTCTGAAACCAAAATATTCTTTATAATTCTGAAAGAAAAATAAATTGAACACAACAAATTGATCAATTAAAAAAAATTAAAATTTCTATTAAAAAAATGGATTCAATTTATATTATTAAATTCAATCAACTAATTAAATTAATTAACTAATTATTTGTTATAAGCCAGATTTCGATTTAATAAAATTAAAAAATCAATTACAATTATTATTATATTTGATTAAAAAAAACACAAACCAGAAAGAAAATTGTTATCAATTTTATTTATAAAATTGAAATTATTTAAAATTTTAATTTGCAAAAATAAAATTCAAAAATTTTATTCGATAAATAAAATCAAATTTTAATCATTTTTTTAAACAATAAAATCAACAGAAAATTTATTTGATTATCATTATCATTTTAAGAATACGAGATGGCGCTTATTGCTACCGATTATAATATTGGATTTTTCTTTTGTGGAGAAATGATGGAAACAAAAAAATTTTCAACCTGGAAAAATTTTTATATTGATTTAAAAGATCTTATACAATCATAATATTCAAATCATATATTATTATATCAATGACTTAGTGTAATTGTTTGTGTGTATGTGTGTGGTGTTCAATTGTGAAATGTTCGAATGATGATGATATTGATGATGATGATGATGATGATTAGGATGAGAATGGTGATTATGATGATGATTGATAATGATTATGAAAAATCCATCAATGAATCATAATTGTATCGACACATAATGACAATAGTTATAGTTATCAATTTTAACATCTTTCGATTGTTTTCAGAGAATCAGAAAAAAAAGAATCACAATTATGCTTTCTGTATGAAACGTTGATCGGCATTCAATTCAAATTCATTTTTTATCATTAAACGTTTTGATAGCTTATTTTTTGCTTTTATACCAAATGAATAGAATAGAAATAGAATGAGGAACAATATTTGATATATAAATGATATTGATGATGTTATACCATCATCCGTACTACTATTATTATTCTGTACCATAATTGTTGATGTTATTGTTGTTGTTGATGATGCATTTATTGATGATGATAATGATGATGATGATGATGATGATGATGATAAATGATGAAACAATCCGGCAATCATAATAATATTAAAGAATAGGCTTAATTTGAAATGTTCAAATATGATGCTACAGATTAATCCAACTTCAATCAAAATCGATATAACAGCAACGAATAACATGCTTATTTGATCTGTTTGAATTATACAAAAAAAACAAAACAAAAATTAAAATTTCAATCAATCATTTTGTTTCAATTTGAATATTAAATTTATTGATCCCAAGACAAATGGACCTCAATCCTTATTGTGACCATGGTCATTGTCAATTATTATTATTTTTCCATTGCACTTTTTCCATATTTTTTTTTCTTGGTTTCATCAAAATTAAAAATTCATATTAAATTTTTTTTTCGAATTGAATTGTTTTCCAATCAATAATGAAATTAATTATTCATTGTTATCATCGATTTATCATTTTTATCAACATTGATTTAAATGTTGAATAATTTTTTCTCTTAATAAAATAGGAAAAAGAGAAAAAAGGAGAGAAAACTGCGACCAAAAAAAAAACATTTCATATTTATTTGACCATCAGGTCAAGGATAATCGACCGACATTCATTCATTCATTCATTTAAACACACAACATTCAACTACATAAAAACATTATCATTATTTTTACCACTATCTGTCTTTTTTTCATACTATTTTCAAATATAAAAAAAATCTAATGTATCCTGCAATATATTTTACATTGAGTTTTTTCTTGTCTCTCTCTCTCAGAAAAGAAACAAGGATTGTTTGTCTGTTTTGGTAAATATGTATGTAATCAGAATGAATTTTCATTGCCAGAAATTTTCTCACTTTTTTTTCATTCAATGCTATTACTTATGTATGGATTTGTTCAATGCAATACTGATTTTCAATCTATCGATATTTATCTATCTATGTATGAATGATTTTCCTGTTTATTTTTTATTTTTTTTTTTTTTTTTTTTTTAATTTTTTTAAAAAAAAAAACAAAAAAAAAAAAAAAA